ACCTGGGCATTGTACGGCCCATGGGCCACATCCGGCCTGATGGCTGACCCTGACTGGCCCGCATGAGGTCACTGGCAAATTAAAAGTCAATGCAAATATATATTGTCATAAAATAGATGCAAGCAATACAACTGCACTGCTTTTATTTTGAAGGATCTGTTAAATTGAATTGAATTTATTGCTTTTCATGTAATGTTAATGTTTTTGTGAATATTCATTTAATAGTGTTGTTCTGTGCTCCACATTTTCATTGTATCATTGTAATGTTTCATTTACTGTTTTTATAGAGATATATATTGAGCAGAGCTGTAAGTGTATTGGTCCAGCCCTTAACAACTGTCAAAGTTTCTCATGTGGCACCATAGGAAAATTAATTGCCCACCCCTGATCTAGAGGGATACATGTTCTTCACCCCAAGCAATTTGAAGGCAGATATAAAATAAGAGCAATGATGTTTGTGATAATTAAACATAATCAACTAGTACAATATTGACTAAAAGCACTACATCCAGGACCTTGTCTATGGAGGATGGACTAGCTTTCTGCCTGTCCATTCCTTACCTTAGGAAGTCCCTTAGTCAGTACAAGAGAAAAGTATTTCATACCTGCACAGGGGTATTCCCGAAGACACCTCCTGCTGGGAGCAAGAAAGAGGGCTGCTCTGAGCACACATTCTCAGGGGCTGCTGGTTGGTCTCCAGAAGAGTTGGAGGAGGAAGAAAAGGCACAGGAGGGGTCTGAGAATGTGGGCCATCCCTGGACATTGAGACGAGAGAAGCGGAGGTGCTCATCTCAAGGCCAGGCTCCCCAGGTGGGCAGGCAGCCTTTGGGAACAACCAAGAAGTGCAGTTGGTGGGAGGGGAGTTGGTGGGAGGGAACTCGGCGCAGGGGAGTTTCTCAGGGGCAGTCGAGGTGGGCATGGCTCTTGACTCCATGGCGCATCATCACCAGAGGACGGCAGCCCACGTGGAGGGTCTGTTTGCGGAGGGGAGGTGTGCTTGCTTTCAGAAGGCCCCTTCTGGAGGGATGGTGCCCAGGCCTGCCCATAAGGAGAATGTGAGGTAGGGTTCAATGACCCACTCTGTCCGCGATCAGAGATTCATTCCAGGATTTTGTACATCTGGAAAATGTTTAGGCCAATGTTTTACAGAAGAGCCCCAGCTCGCAACATGACGCCTCAACATTAGGCTGTGTGTTTCCCATTGCCACCACTTCCTGCCACTGGCTGCTGGCCCAAGAGGTGGGCATTACAAGCTCAGGCACTTTCATGGTTTCAGGGGAAGTTATTTCTCTTCCTCACTTAGAAAAGCTGGGAATGGAGAATGAGACATTCTGCTTACAAAACATGCTCTTATCTTGCAGCCGCAGCCTGTCCCCTCGATATGATCTACCAGCACACGACTTCCTTCCTTCACCAGAAAGAGGCAGCTAGTTCAGATGTCATAGGGTGGAGAAGAAGCTGTCACTTAGCGCATCATTATGTGTGCTGCTCCTGCCTTGTTCGAACCATGGCGAATGGGGCCAGTACAGATTTTCCATCTTGGATATCACAGACCAGCTGGTAGTCTTAGTAGGACCCAAGAAGGAACACCGTTTTTAAAAAGCTGTTAATGATCAATTATTGTAGAAGTATAAAGCTTTCAGTTTAAAACCATATAATTGATATTTAAAGGAAACTATGTCTGCGATAGAGTCCCTTGAAGGGATTACATTCATTAAGGATTACAACGCAGAGGTCTCCTCCAGCAGGTCAGACTTATTAACATAAAACCTCAAGTACAGACATAGCTTGTGGGGAGGGAAGAAGGAATGCTTAAGAAAGGGAACTAGGGTTGTCAACTGACCAAAAAATGCCCGCCCTTGTGCATTTAACAATGTTCCAATTGTAAAAAGGAGCAATGCCGTACATAACATGGAGATCGAAGCAAGTTCCCCTGCTGATGCCACCTCTCAAGCTGCTTCTAGAAGTCACAGGACTTCCCTGGGAGCGCATCAGCAATGCATGTCGTGGCAGGACTGCAAAACTTTCACTGAAACTTTGGAAGAGTTTGATTTCTTACAAGACGACGATGAGAAACAAAACATGAGGGCTCTACCAAGGGGCCTGCTTAATTTGAAACTAGCTCTCCAACACCTTGCCCATTAGTATGGATGCTCCTGATGGGGCTTGATGTTCTCCTTCCCCCTGCCACCCACCCACCCACCCACCATTCTTAAGTTGAAAGATCTAGGAGAAAAGTTTGCACAAATATTGCTGTGATAACAAGAGTAGTTTGCTTGATGATGAGATTTAGATATACATCTCTAAAGCAAGATAAACAACTGGAAAAGCTTAGGCCAAAGCCAGCCTTCTTGCTGCACATAAATGAAAAAGGAAAAAAATGGTAGAAGGAAAGTACTTGGCAGCAATCCATAAAAACTACCAAGATTTACTGCAGCTTTTCTTCAATCTGCTGCCCTGCAGATACACTGGACTGTAACACCTATCATTCCCAGACAACATGCATTAGGATTGCTGGGGTAGACTGCAACTCTCATCATCCCCAGCCAGCAAGGGAAGGCTGGTTTAGTCTAAAGGGACATGTTGGAACTAGAGAAATGAAGGTTCAAAGCATCGCTTCGCTGTGAAGTTAACAGTAAAACCTTGGGTAGATGTCAGCTCTCAGCCTTGGAACGTTGTTAGAGGAAGGATGGTATCTAAATGCAACCATTAATTAGCATTTTTAAAGAAGGAATATGAACTGAGGCCTTCGCTCACCCACTCCTGCACTGGATCTACAAGGTGGGCCAGTACGTAGCTAGTTGTTGACAAGGGTGATAGGGTCTATTAGTTCAAGTTTGGCATTGCAAGGGAGCAAAACATCTGTGGTGGCATTGCACAGAAACGCAACGCTTCCTTTGTTTTCTGATTCCTAGCCTAATTTCCTTTCTTCACTTCTTGGATTTTTGGTTCAGTCCATTTTAGATCACAGCCAGAGATGCTGTTGGGCTGTAATCTCCCTCCCACTCTTCAAGCAAAAATGGACATCCAATTATTAGGTGGGTGTCGGAAGAGATGCTGCTGCACTGTATGGAATGCAGATTAGTTTGCTCTCATTAATCATACTATGTTCTTTCCAGGGGATGTGCTGGAAGGAAAAGTTCTGGGAACCGGGCCCACAGGACAGAAAATGTGCATAGGCTCTAAAAGCTGTGCATATGTGCACGCTCACGTACATACATGTGTGTGGGTGTGTGCGCATGTGCATGTGCGTGCATGCATGCGCATGCTCACATTACTTTTTTGAAGAACTCTGTCTTGTAGATACCCCCATTTGCAAAAAGGGATGTAGGAAGACATTTGACTGCAGAAAAAAAATCCTCAGGTAGAAAGATTTTTTGGGGGTGGAGAGCAAGAACTGAAGCACATGAGGGGCCAAAGCAAGGCAATCGAAGCAGATGGGGGGGAGTGGATCAGATTTATTTTATGTATTTATTTTGATTTTTATCTATATTCACATGCCCATAGGTTCTGTGCAGTTTACAGGAGATTAGAACCAACAACAGTGAACATTTCAGAAAAAACAAGCATGTTACATAAAACTAGTCTGGAAACTAATCTAGAAAGCCCTGGCAAAATAGATATATCTTTAACTCCCTCTTAAAGTTGGCATTCTGGAATATCCAACATCTCTCTCCTGGCAGGCCATTCCATAGTTTGGGGGCAACCACTGAGAAACTGCTCCGTCATTATGTCAACAGAAGGCCAGTTAAAGAATTCACTCAAAGATGGAATACTTATTATGTGCAATTTAAATAATGGTTAAAGAAATACAGTTTTTACAAATATATGTGGTTCCCATTCTAAATCAAAGCAATGTTATAATTCATAACTAATTTAATAGACCAGAGGCATTTCTGATTGAGAACTGAATGTCTTGGATGAGATGGTGGCTGATCGAAATTGGCTTAATTATAAATGTGTTTAAATGTTGATATTGCATGTTAAAATCTGTGGAACGATCCTTGGCACCTTCTTTCCTATAGATTTCCTTCTTTTTATTGTATTTTCTGAAAATAAATTTTAAAAGATTTGGAAAAAAGAAAGAGAAAGTTCTTTGGGAAGTCAATGTTAATCGTACAGAAGATGCAAAGTGCCCCCAAGCCTTTATTCCAGAGTGTCCATGGATAGCAAGGTGGTGGGGCAAAGGTCTTCCCAGAGTTCCAGGGGTCCAAATCAAAGTTTCTGGGCTCCTGCCTTAAAGGGTTGTCACATGACACTGCTTTTGATTCCTTCTGTTCCCCTCTTCCTCTCTTAAGAGAAAGGAAAGCATAAATAGCTATGAAAAACAGATGCATTTGCAGTGCTATTTTTTCCTCTGCTTTTTCCAGGCTGCCAGACTTCCTACAACGTTTTCCCTCCTGCCCTCCAGTTCCTAGGGCATCCATCACTTTGCATAGTCTCATTGGTTTTTACCAAGATGTGCTTTGCAAGAAGAAAGGCTATTTTAAGGCAGAAGGAGGCCAGTAATGCTATTTCCCTCTGCCACCTCAAGGTCACTTGAAAAAGCATCCTCTACAATGTTTGCTTCTGGGAGACATTATTTGTAAAATCATTCCCCACCCCTCAGCTCTCCTTCTCCCTCCCTCTTCTATCCAAGTTCCCAACTACTTCTAAATACCTGCTAGAATCACAGTTAAAACAAACAGAGCTACACAGAAATGTTTCTCTTTTTGACTTCGAACGGTTTCCATCAGATTTGGAAAAGACACAAACCAGCCTGTATTTACATAATAAAAATCAACCCTTTTGTTAACTGTAATTGGCATGCAAGAAACACTGCAAGACAAATTAAGTTCTCCTTTGGCAGGGCTGTTGCAATATAACTCACGAAACATGAAGTGCAGCTCTGATAGCTTATTAGAGCAAAGACGGGAAAATGGAGAGAGGGTACGGACAGAAAATGAATTGGCCTGCAAACAGCCAACTGCTATAAGAAGACCATGTATCTAACTACTTACATGCATTTGTCACTGAAAAACTGTTGGAGGAATCCAGGTGGTCAACATGGTAGTTCAAGTGGAAAGGTTTCTCCGTGAAATTTTGGTTTGTGTTGTATAACTGGACGGCAAATCGAAATGCGCTGTGCTCTTGGACTGTGTTTCTCATGAAGAGCCCTCCTAACAACAGAGAGAAGATTTTTAAAAATAGGTTTTGTGGGCTTGTATACTGGTGGTGGGTTAAAACTGCACTTTTAATGTGACAAGAATGCGTACTAAGAAGCATTTATGAATAGCCAACCATGCAACGCAAAGCGACAATGCCACGATCTGCATCTGAAGCAACTGAGTTACATAGATCACACTGCTCACAACCAGAGCTCACAACTACTCCCCTCCCTCCCACATCTCCGTCTCCCTTTAAAAACAGAATATTGCAAAACTGGTCTTGTGCTCACTTCCCTCTGGAGGTGTTCAAGGAGGGCCCACTACATGCACAGCCCCAGCTCTCTGGCTGGCTGTCTTCCCCTCCTCCTTGCTGCACATGGGCATGCACACATTTTAAAGTTTTGAAGAAGTCCCATGTGTAGGGTTAGGATACAGAATACTGGGGCCTCATGATTTCTGCTGCATCAGACCCCCCCCCCCCATTAACTAGCTTTTCGCCTACATGTGCATCACCTCTAGCTGCTCCCCAAAATCTTTCTCCCCATATTTGTGCATCCCCCTTTTCTTTTCTTCAAATGTGGGTATCTTAGGAGAAAGGTCCTTTACACACGGAGGGAGGGGGGAGAGAGAGAGACTTTAGAGAATGTGCAAGCTAGCATATATACACCATTCTGCAATTTCTCTCTTTTGGCCCTGTGGTCCTGAATCTTGGATCTTTCAGAACCTAGCACCATTCTTATTTGCCTTAAAGTAAGCCTCATTAAAACCCAGTATGACCCAACCTTGAAGAAAATACAGCAGATCCACAGGTTACAAGGATATGCACGACTGCCCCTTCCAATCTGTATTGCATATGCACATAATGTCCACATCACACACATTCACGCATATACAGATGGCTGCCAGAGATCCAGAGCATGCTTCCTTGGACATCAATCCTAGCAAGTTCCGTAGGACTTCTTCAAAATCTTAAAAGCTGTGTATGGGACACACTATTATTTTGAAGCGAGTCTTGGGATAGTCAATGGCACTTATTCCCAGGGAGGGGGTAGACAGGATTGAAACTTTATTCAGACAAAGATCCCATCAGGGCACGTATCTCCAAACTGGCATTTACAAACAAAATGCAAGTAGTGGAACCGTACACATCTACTCAGAAGTAAATCTGTTTAAGTTCAGTGGGCCTTACCCCAAGGTAAGTGCATAAGGAATAGCAGCCTGAGTGTTTTCTGGGAAGAAGCACTGGCTAGCAAAATGCACGGGCAGCAACAAACCTATGCATAGCTATTTGGCAGTCAGCCCCACTGAACTCAGTGAGACAGACTTTCTCCTGAATGTTGACAAAGCTCAGATTCGCATAGGATCAGGAACCACGGGATCCAGGTGTCAGCACAAGCTGCAAGCATTTCAGCATCAAAATATAGGTTGAAAAGATGAGTTCTTTCTAAATCGTTTGGATACCATCCTGCACCTATCCTGACCAACAAGAGGCTCATATAAAGCACAGGTTATGCACAGGTGAAGAGTTTCACTGGGAACGTGCAGAGATTTCCCTAAAGGCTGTCTTGGATCCAAGTTGTCTAAAAAGAGCAGGGTGGGGGGAAGGAAATGATAGAAACTCTCATGGAACTTCTTCTTTCATTGTATTTATGCGTTCTATACACCAATCCAGTCTCTCCCCAACTTGGCAGTATGCCAGAAGTAAAGCAGCATTAATACCACTGATACCTCCCCCCCCCCCCCCCCCCCGCAGTTCCTTCTGCAGCATGTAGGAACGGATGTAGCTACCAGAAGAAAGAGAGAGAGGTAGAGTGCCTTATGCTAAATGAATAAAATGCTATTTTTAAACATGGTTTGGCATTTCTCAGTGCCCCAGAAGAACCCAAGTGGGAGGGAAATTTTACACTCCTACTCGTGCAATAGCAAAAAAGAAAAGGGGAGGGGAGGGGAGGGGTGAATCCAACTGATGCAGTACCCATTTGATGACATATGCAGGCAGACAAGGCACTGATTATTTTCGCCGTCTGGCTGCACTGCCCTCGGTTTGTCCACTGTATGGCCCTTGCCTGCGGGAGAGAGAGCAGCCACCCAAGGATCCCTGTGCCACGTCCAGAGGATTAGCCCTGGCACATCTGGGTCCTTTTGCTCCCTCCACACAGACAAGACAAGGCGCATGCAGGAGAGCTCCCAGTTTCAAGACAGAGGATGTGGTCCACTTAGAGGAAGCTGCACACGCCTGGCTCCCAGTATTAAACAAACCGGGGCATGCCAGCGCCGCTGAAAACCACAGCGGCTTCTTTGCCATTGAACTCGGCAAAGGCAGGGTTAGAAAGAGAAGCAGGTCTACATGTGGCCCAGCACCAGCAAGGAAAGCCGTGGAAGTTTTGTTCTTGGGTTCAATGGGGGTGAAGGTTTTCAAATGATTCTGAACAATAGGCATGCAATCATTAATATTAAGGCCTGGGAGACACTCCAGGGCTCCAAATGGCACTGCCAGTCCAAGTCACTGCATTAATAATACAGCTAATTTGAGGTTTGCTTTCCATTCCAATTCCCTATCCATTATGAATTTACGCTCTCCTTCATTATTATGAATACACTATTATAGTACGATATTAACATGATTAGTAGCAATGATATTAATATTAATACCAGTAGCAACTATAGCAGAAAACAATGGTTTTTTGCAAAGTGCCTGCCCTGGAATGTTAAGAACCCAGAATAAAAGTGGGCAGTGGGAATCAGTTGGGTACCCAAGTTTAAGATGAAGAGGCTTCTCTCCATCCTCCCACCAGGGAACCCCAAAGCTGTTCTTTTGAAAGGGAGGGGTGGGTGGGTGGGAAGGAGAGGTTTCGAGTGGGGGGGGAGATCTGCGCATCCTTACCTATACTGATGGTGTTCGGAAAGCCTCCCCGGGACTCCCCCAGAAGCCCCACCAGCAGCAGGAGAAGAGTTGGAGGCGCGGGCTGCCCCATATTTCGCGTGATCGGTTCTCCGTCAGCGCCTGCAGCTCAGAACCTGAAGCGAAACTGACCGGACCGGCATCGGCGCAGCGGCAGGGCAGCTGCCCAAGGCCCTCGCTAGTGGGATCCTCACCGGCCCCCTCTTTCTCCCCCCTTTCTTCTTCCTTCTTCCTCTTCTTCACCCCAGCCTGGAAGGGCTCATCGGCTTCGAGAGGCGCCGACTCTCAGTAGCGCAGGACTTCTTTGCCCCCTCCTCCTCTTCCTCCTCTCCTACGCAAAGTTGGGGGGGGGGAGCAAGTCAACGCTCTCACATCCCCTCCCTGGGCTGCCCACAGAGACAAGTTGCCCCCCTATCGGGCCACGCGGGGGCTTAAGGCTCAAACTTCATCTGTCTCCGTCTCTTCTTCTGTTGCTGCTGCTGCTGCCCCGGCGGCGGCGACACTGCGCGCCCCTTCCTTAGCGGCGACGCAAACTGCAGCAAAAGCCCAAACGCGGCGTCTGTGTCAATTTCAGGAGCGGCGGCGGCGGCGGCGGGCGGTGCAATCAGTGGAAACCCGAACGAAGCTCACGTGGACCTCCCTTTAAAGCCGCAACAACTGGTCCCCTTTAAAGCTGCATTGCCTCTGACTCGCTCTGTGCGCCTGTCGGGGGTGGCGGCGGGGGGGGACAGATAGACATAAACACACAAACACTCGGGAGGGAGGGGAACGCAGGCTCAACCAGAGGGGAAAAGGGAGGGTGCGCTCGCTGGAAGGAAGGTGAAAAAAGGATGGAGGGAGAGCGAAAGGGAGAGACGGAATGCGGGCGAGGACGACGCGCCCAAGCAGCGGCCGCCGCTCCAGTCCGCGAAGAGGCGAGCACGGAAGGAAGGGGACCCGCGGTTAAGTGGGTGGCGCGTTGCGAGAGCGGTGGCGCGGGGGATCAGGCGCAGAGCGCAAGGGCGAGGCGAGGCGAGGCGAGGCTGGCGGCACTGAGGATGCGCTCCCGCGCGCCTTGCCCCGGGCGCAAGTCCGGCGGCGCGCGCTCGACGGCTCTCTGCCGGATCGCGCTGCAGCCCTGTGCGCGCTGCTGGGGCGGGCGAACGCGACGCTGCTTTCCGGAGCGAAGGCGCTACCCGCGCCCGGCTGTCCTCTTCGCGCGCTTGGAGTGCGTGTGCGTGTGTGTGTGCGCGCGCGCGCGTGTGTGACGGGAAGGGTGTCCGCGGCACTGAACGTATAGTGGGACTTGTGACTGGTGAACGGCGGTCATGGGATGGGCCGTCGGGAGGCAGCCCCCGACCAGCGTATTTATCTGGGGGTCATTCCTGTTGAGCACGGTGGGTTTTACTCCTGGATGAGCCGAGAGGAGGAATCGCAGGGGTTGCCGGCTGTTCTCGCCACTTCAAAACCCGCGGGAGCCCCTCGGACTAACCCCGCCGTCCCCGCACGGTGTGCCACAGACATGTGGGGCTACGAATCCCATCCGCCGCAGCCGGCCAGCTAGGACCACGGACAGGACAGGGATGATGGGAGGCGTCTTCCAAATGATGTAAGGAGCACTGGCTCGAGGCAGGAGACCTTCAAGGGCGAAGGACGAGTCCCTGCCCACTCGCTAGGCGGAGCTGAGCTCCACGGAGATGGATCGAGTGCCGCGGGGTGGTGGTGCGGGGCAGGGGGGCGGAGGGAAACCCAAGGCAGGCCAGGGCAAATGGAGCCTCCCAGGGAATGGGACCCTTCAGAGAAACGGAAGCTTCTTGCAAAGTGACATTGGGGGAAATCAGCAGGGCTAACTTTACAGTCCAAACCTGTTTATGTTTACTCAGAATTAAGTTACTGGTTACTGGCCCAGTGAGGGCGTTTAGGATGGCAGAGCAAGGCAACACAGGACAATGCAATGCAAGGCCCTGCCTTGTGTTAATGCAGGGCCCCAGCGACCTCTGTTGCACAGATGCCACTGTGCTAGCTGGTCTTTTGCCCACATGTGCCTCATCTCCTGCTGCCCCTCTTGAATTTTTCTGCCCAGGGTTTTAAAGAATAATATTTTCTGAAATCAAATGCCTTCCTCTCCTCTGTCCACTCATTCCTTTTGCCATAGAGAGGTACCCTTAGGAAATGGGTCCTTGACAGACCTGGGTATATATGAAAATCAGCAGATGTGTCTGTCCTGTGAACCTGAGTCCCGGATCTTGTTGGTACCCTGGATGGAAGACACAACTTAGCACCTCCTTGTAAGAGGATGCTACACTGATCAGTCTTTCAGGTTCTGCTTCACTTACTGGCCATGCTTCTCAGGGTTTCAGACACTTTGTTTTGTTTTGCACCAGGGTGGAGATGCCAAGAACTGACTTGGGGTCTTTTTGCCTTCTGTTCCCTTCCCTAAAATGTAGGAACCTGCCTTGTGCCAAGTTGGATAAGCAGCATTTCCCACGATCCAGGCAGAGGTCCTTCCCAGTTTTACCTGGAGCTTGAACCCAGATAATTTGCTTGTAAATCATGTGCTCTGTCCATGAGCCACAACCCTTCCCTACATTACAGATGATGCCAATGGGACAACCTTTGGGTCATGCTTAAGCATGTACAATTGAAACTTGTGTAACCCTAGACTGCACACTGAAACACTAAGAAAACAGTGTGCAATCTAAGTGCACACAATGGTGATGCCTTGAGAACTGAAAAGAAACCTGCTAAATCACTCCCTGAGGAGAATCAGTAGTGGGACCCCACTTAGAATAGTGTGTGCTGTTCTGATCACTGCACCTAAAAGGGGGTATCACCCCCTGGGAAAAGTGCAGAAAAAGGTGACTACAATGAGCAAGGAAAGGTTGCAATAGCTGGCATTTCTAAATTTGGGGGTGTGGAGTAAATAAGAGGGGACATGATAGAGATATACAGAGTTATGCATGGTGTAGAGGAAGTGGGGGAGGGGGTAGTTTTCTCCTGCTCCCATAGGAGAACCCTATGCTCCCAGGGGAGACTTAACACAGATTAAGGACTTCTTCACACAGTGCATGTTAAACTATGGTATTTACTTCCACAAGATGTAGAGGTGGGCACCAGTTTGGACATCTTTAAAAGGGTATTGGACAAATTCATGGAGGAAAAGGCTATCAGGGAGCACCAGTCCAGGATCAGAGGCAATATGGCTATATATACTGGGCTGAGAGACAATGTGGTGCAGTGGTTAAGAGCATGGGTCTGGGACTCAGGTGATCTGGATTTTAGTCCCTACTCAGTCATGGAGCAACCCAGCCAGTCACATGCTCTTAGTCCAATCTACCTCACGAGGTTGTGGGGATAAGACTAAGAGCAGGAGGAACAGAATGACATAAGCTGTTTTGAGTTCTAAAAGAAAGAAAGTGGGATATAAATCTAATAAATAAATATATATGCCAGTTGCTGGGTAGCATGGGCACGTAGGTTGCACTCATGTCTGGTTTACCACTGTGTGAACAGGGTGCTAGACTAAATGGACCCTTGGCTTTATCCCATAGTGCTTTTCTTAAACAACTGCTTGCATCTTTTGCTTTGTGGGCTTGCCCTGGAAATATATAGACATCTAGCAATGAGAACATACGTGGATGATTCACCAGCGACCAAGGAAAGAAAGACCCAGAGATGGCAATCAGATTGGAGAGACAGATTATCACTGGAATGGAATGAACGGGAGAAAGGTACGATAGGGCTGGTTCTGGAGCATGCAGAAAGATAAGTTGATGAGCAGGGATTTGGGGTTCAAATCTCCCCTATCTGAACCTATCCTCTATATTATGCTGGCCTGCAATAATTATGAGTCCTGCAAGCATATTTCCAAGTGAAAAGTAGAGTTGCCAACTTTCTCTCTACTGGATGCTTCTCCTACACCTGTCAAAAGCCGCTCAGTCTGCTGATTTTAGAAGGAGGTACAGATTATCTCTCTGCTGTGAAAAGTTTTACCTGCTACTTTCCACCAATCTAAATCAGGTCAGCTTTTTCCTTGTCCATTGGCAACCCTGGTGAGAAGTGAATTGTTTCCTGTGTAGTAATACCTACCTATTGATTTTGCTGCTCCTTGGTTTCCTAGCCATACGAGGTTCATAAAATTTAGAGAGCAGAGATGGAACAAACGTCTTGGGTAATTTCTTTTTCAGCTTTTTGCTCACTTGTGAGAACTGTAGGAAGCTGCCTGAGCAAAGTCAGGCATTGACTGGGTTCAGATCACGTAATGGCGCAGGCATAAGGGCTGAGTGTGTGGAACCGTGTTGTCTGACCCTGTTGACTGCATGCAGCTGCACTAACAAGCCATGGCTTGGTAACCACAAGCATGGCTTGTTTGATGGTGGCTTCTGAAATGGTCTCCATGCTTGGTGATCTCAGCTGGGTTCAGAGAACACACTATCCCATGTTTCAATAACAAGCCGTAGTTCAGTGACAACTCACACTCAACCCTTGAGTCCGGGTTAGTGTGTTGTCTGAACCCAACACACTGTCTAGCCCAGCAGTGTCTACCAGTCTACAGAGCGTTGGTGGTTCTCATCATCTGATCCTTTCCACTGGGGATGCTAGGGAATGAACCCTCTGCCTTCTGTATGCAAAGCATGCACTCATTCTCTCTCTTCAGGGTATGCTGCCGTTATGCGGCTCTGGTAGCATGTTCTGGTCTCCTTCCATTGTTCACTCTGACTCTCTTTGAATAAGGCATAAAAAGAATGGATCTAAAGTGGTAGGCTTTGCACCATTTCAGATGCAGAGCCTGAGCTCGGTCACATTAAATACAAAAGCAAAATAAAAGAAGGAAACTGCAAATGTCTACCTTTACAATAGACAACTAGCAAGTCCAGAAGAAAAGTGATGGCTGATATGCTGGTTTTCTATTTGTGAGGTTCAGCCAACTTTTAAAAAATGTGACCCATCCCTGCAGTCTGCCAGGGTTCATTTCACCAACTCATTCTGCCATATGCACTGACCAGCCCATACTTTTGAGTCACTTGACTTTTAGTCTTGAAAAAAATCAACATTAAACAGCACACTCCATCTAATTGCAGCTCTGCATGCACT